AAGTTGGGGATCTTTAAAATGTTTGAGCAACTGGAAATCAGGATCCATGTGTAACGTGGTAGACTTAGTTATGTTAATGGGGAAGGGCAGTTGTAGAATTCTTGAGGCCTTGGAATACTTGTGAAATCCAACATTATGTTTAGGTTTCAGTATTCCCTGCTTTCGATCATTTCCTTTGTGCTGAATCACGACTCATCTCTTTACAATTAATAATAATACTTTGAGTAGGTGCCATTCTTTCAGTTTTACAGATAAAGAAATGGATTTATAGGTCAATTGTTGAATCTTAGGTTGTGGAATCCAATTTAAATAATATCAGTATATAAATGGTAGTAGATTTTTTTAAAAATTCCCTTTGGGGCTTCATTTTTTAATTTTTTAAAAAATCATTATTTTAAATTACAGTTGACATACAATATTATATTAGTTTCAGGTTTAAACCTCAGTGACTAGACATTATATAACTTACTAAATGATCATCATTATAAATCTAGTACTCATCTGACACTATATGTCATTATTATAATATTATTGACTATACTAGAGGACCAGTGCATGAAATTCATCCACTGGAGGGGGGGGTCCCTCAGCCCGGCCTGAGCCCTCTCACAATCTGAGACCCCTTGGGGGATGTCCACCTGCCAGCTTGTGGCTGGATGGCCTTCTGCTGCTGCTTGAGCTTCAGCAGCTGCTGCATGTGCACAGGCTGGGCCACCACGGTCTGTCCTGTGAACACCATCAAGTGGGTGAGTCAAGCGTGGAGGCAGGCTAACCCTGAGTTTCCTGCACTTTCCTGAGTGATGACCTCCTTTAGCTTTTTTGTCTGGGAGGTTCTTTATATGTCCTGCAATTGTAAATGGTAGTTTTGCTGAGTAAAGTAATCTTGGTTGTAGGTCCTTGCTTTTCATCACTTTGAATATTTCTTGTTAATTCCTTCTGGCCTGCAAAGTTTCTGTTAAGAAATCAGCTTGACAGTCAGTCCTATGGGAGTTCCCGTATAGGTAATTAGCTGCTTTTTTCCTCTTGCTGTTTTTAGGATTCCCTCTTTGTCTTTAACCTTTTGCATTTTAATTATGATGTATCCTGGTGTGGGCCTCTTTGTGTTTATCTTGTTTAGGACTCTCTGCACTTCCTGGATCTGTATGTCTATTTCCTTCACCAAGTTAGAGAAGTTTTTCATCATTATTTTTTCAAATATATTTTCAATTTCTTGCTCTCTTTCTTCTCCCTTCAGCACCTCCATTATGTGAATGGTGGTACCCTTGAAGTTATCCCAGAGGCTCCTTACACTATCTTTATTGTTTTGGATTGATTTTTTTTTCTTTTTGTTGTTCTGATTGGGTGTTTTTTGCTTCATTATGTTCCAAATCGATGATTTGATTTTCAGCTTTATCTACTCAATTGTTGATTCCCCCATAATATTAGTCTTCATATTAGTTAGTGTATCCTTCATTCCTGACTGTATTTTTTTTAATGGTTTCCACATCCTTCTTTATGGTATCCATGTCCTAATTTATGCTGTCGAGGTTTTCTCTACATTCAATTACTCTTCTTTTAAATTCATTGAGCATCTTTATAACCAGTGTTTTAAATTCTGCATCTAGTAGATTGCTTATCTCCTTGTGTTTAGTTCTTTTTCTGGAGGTATGTTATGTTCTTTCATTTGGGAGTTGTTTCTCCTTTTTTTGGCAGCCTCCCTGTGTTTGTTTTTATGTATCAGGTACATCTGTTACATCTTCTGTGCTTGGTAGAGTGGCCTAATATAGTAGGTGTCCTGTAGGGTCCAGTGGCACAGCCCCAATCACCCAAGCTGGGCACTCCAGGTGCCTCCCCCCACCATGTGGCACATCAATGAGAGGGATTTACCCCCAGGCCAATCAGCCACAAGGACTAGCTGTGATCACCAACCACTGTGGAGGATCAGCTGTTCAGGGGCCAACCCCACAGAGAAGGACTTACTTCAGCAGGGTTCTGGTGCCCACAAAGTCCACCCCTTGAGTGTGTCGCTATGAAGTTAGTTGGGTGATGGTGCTTTGACATGGTCTGAAGCTATATACTGGGTGTGCTGGCTCTTGGGCCTCCCAGGAGTTGTAGGCCTAGGTCAGCCACCACCTGTATAATACCTGGGGCCACCAGCCTTGAGCTACAAAGTGATCTATAGATGGCTGCTACTTGTGCTGGGCTTGGAGGTGCCCAGGAGAGGCCAAGTTGTGAATCCTAGCCAGCCACTGCTAGTGCCAGGCCTGGGGCCACTTATCGAGAAGTACAGGGCTTCCTGAGTCCAGATGCTGCTTTTAGGAGAAATTTTAGGAAAGTCTAAAGCATGAGCCAAGACAGGCCATCTTGTGGAAAACCTACTGGAAACATCTTGGGTGGGCTTGGAAGTTGTGTTGGCTGGTGTCTCAGGGAATTCTCAGGGAGGCCAAACTGTGATAGCCAGGTTGATGCTGACTCAGATATGGTGCCCACCTTCCTGCTCTGTGCAGGGAGGGCTCATTCAAAGGAACAATGGCCTCTGCACTTCTGTCTGGGAGAAAGCTGTCCCCTAGCTCTCATCCTGATGCCAAACAATTCAGTCCCTTCCCAAATGTCCCTGGTGCCTTTTGAGCTGCTATCCCAGCTTTGGAGCTCAGAGGGAGTGAGTCAAAGTAAGTTCACATGTGGACCCTTTAAGACGATCTGCCTAGGACTCCAACAGCCCTCTGTCTCACTCAGCCATTATCTCCACTGTTTTTTTTTTTTTTATGTTTGTTGTTATGTTTTGTTGTTAATCCTCACCCAAGGATATTTTTCCATTGATTTTTAGAGAGAGTGAAAGGGAGGGAGAGAGACAGAAAGAGAAACATCAATGTGAGAGAGACATCAATTGGTTCCCTCCCACATGCACCCTGACTTGAGCTGGGGATTGAGCCTGCAACTGTGGTATGTGCCCTTGACCAGAATTGAACTCCCTTCAATCTGTGGGCTGAAGTGCTATCCGCTGATTTTTACAGCCAGTTGTAGGGATTTCTCTTCCTGATACTGGAACCTTTGGCTAGGGGTCCTAGTGTGGGGCTGATACCCTTCACATCCCAGGAGGTACCTCCACAGCCTAGTTACCCCTCTCAATTTTTATTTACCATACGTGGGTGTGGGACCAGCACATTCTGCATATCTGGCCCTCCTACCAGTTCTGATGTGGCTTCTTCTTTAAATCCCTAGTTGTATTACTTCCATTCAGCTAGATTTCAAGTGTTTTTCTGAAGGATGGTTGTTCTTTAGTTTAGTTGTAATTTTGATGTGGTTGTGGGAGGAAGCAAGTACCATATTTGGCTATGCTGCCATCTTGACCTGAAGTCCATTAATAATTCTGATTATTTTACTTTTTGATATCACCACATTGATATCTTTATTGTTAAGAAATTTTGTTCTATTTTTGGGATAAACATCTGTCTTTAAAATATTTTTCTTTCCCTTTCATCCATGATATGAAGGTAAATTAGATAATGCTTTTTAAATTCTTCATAAGAAAGGTTATGTGCCACAAATACTCTTCAATATCTTGTTCCTCTAAATTGTTGTCCAAGGACCTGCTGCATGAGAATCATCTTGGATGTTAAAGATAAAAATGCCTAAAGCATGTTCTCTACTAAGACCACCTCAGCAACTGTGGCCCAGGCATCTTATATTGAAACTAGAGGACTGATGCATGAAATTCATGCATGGGGGCGGGGGGGGGGGTGAGGTCCTTCAGCCCAGCCTGCAACCTCTCTAATCCTGAACCTCTTGGAGGATGTCCCACTGCCTCTCACAATACAGGACCACTGGCTCCTAATCACTCGCCTGCCTGCCTGATCACCCCTAACCACCTTTGTCTACCTAATTGCCCCTAACCACCTCTGCCTGCCTGCCTGATTGCCCCTAACTGCTCCCTTACTGGCCTGATTGCCCCTAACTGCTCCCCTGCTGGCCTGATCGCCCCTAACCGCCTCTGCTTCACCCCATACCTGGGACCCAGGATTCCCTCCTCCAGCTGGCCACAGGCACACAGAACCAGGGCCGGCTTTGCCTGGGCTAGCCACAGCCGCATAGGACTGTGGGCAGGCAGCTTAGCCTGGGCCGCAGCCGCAGGCACCCAGGACCACGAGGCAGGTGGCTTGTCCCTCTCCTGGGCCACAGCCCCAGCCGCTGGCACCTGGGACTGCAGGGTGTGCAGCTTCTCTCTCTCCTGGGCTGCAGGCGCAGGTGCAGCCACTGGCACCCAGGACCGCGGGGCTTGCGGCTTGTCACTCTCCCAGGCCGCAGCCAGGCAGGTCCCCATTCCTCTCTTGCAAGCTCATTTGAGCCTGGCTGGTCCCCATTTCTCTCTCGTGAGCTCATTTGTGCCTGGCTGGTCCCCATTCCTCTCTTCCCGGTGTTGAGTGTCTGAGCCATTAGGGTGTGATGGCATGAGGGCATGACAACCATTTGAATATTAGCTCTTTATTATATAGGATGTTCCCCACATGATGCACATTACGATTTGAGAACCACTACTCTAGTGGTGTGAATATTGTATTATGTTCTAGTTGTAGGTTAAAATATTTAAACCTGGAGACTATTAGACTAAGGTGGCTCTAATGCCTTGGCAGGCCACATGAGCTAGCCTAAGCCAGGGTCACTTCACTGAAATCCATGAAAATTAAGCTTAAGAACAACCAATCAAAAAGAGCTAACTTGCCTTTCCCAAATAAGGCAATTGCATGAGCTATAGCCAGTCAAATGATTGCTTTGCATTGCTTTGCTTCACTTCAGCGTCTACTCTATAAAAACCTTGCCACTAGCTCTTGTTGGTGAAGCACTCCTAACCACTTCTCTATTCAAATTGAGGTATGATCAAAGAAAATCTTAAAAAATATATTAATGTGCTTCAGTTCACCTTTTAACAATGTCCATACACAATTGTGTGTGTTTGATAGCATTATATTTCCCAAGTGGTAGCTAACTGCAACTTTAACTGGGATTTGCCTGTCTCTCTCTAGGCTATGTGGCTGATGCTGCAGAATGACGAGCCAGAGGATTTTGTCATAGCTACTGGAGAAGTCCATAGTGTCCGGGAATTTGTAGAGAAATCATTTTTGCACATTGGAAAAACCATTGTGTAAGTATACCTGAGAGTTGATTTCATCAAACATTTTCTGGCAGGTTTGTATATATGCTTGCGTTTTCCCTTTTTACTCTCTTGTAAAGCAATGTAGGGAGTTTCATCATGGAGCAGAGACTTTGTTATTTATCACACATACAAATCTATTTATGTGAAGTGTTTGCCACTATCTGAACAGTCTTTTTAAAATTTCTTTTATCGTTTTTATTTTTAAAATATTTTTACTTTTGAAAAGCTTTATTTTTTTATTATGATTTATATATGATGTACTATGATATTACTGTAGCTAATTGTACTCTTACCAGTCAATATGATAATATTACACAATATTTTTTAATACTTCAATTTATATTTTAAAACTAGTCCCCTGGTGCACGAATTCGTGCATAGGTGGGGTCCCTCAGCCTGGCTGGCAATCAGGGCTGATTGGAACTGTCTGGTGGGAAGGACAGCAGGAGGTTAGCCGTTTGCAGGAGGTTGGCTGTGGGAGTGCACTGACCACCAGGGGGCAGCTCCTGCATTGAGCATCTGCCCCCTGGTGGTCAGTGCATTGTCATAGCGACCGGTTGACCAGTCAAGCGGTTGACTGGTCATAATGGTACCTTAGGCTTTTATATATATAGGTTTTTAAACCCATTAAAAACTTACAGAAAAGTTTCAATGCCTTACAAACAATCTTCTTTTCTCTGAACCATTGAGAGTAGGTTGCTAGCCTGATGCCCCATCACCCAGGACTTTTGTGTGTATTCCCCATGAACACAGATATTTTCTCACATAAATGCAATACAAATATTAAAATCAGGAAATTCACCATGATAAACTGCTACCGACTAACCATCAGATCTGGTTGGAGTGTTGCCAGTTGAGTGAATCCTACACTGTACAGGATTGGGCAAAAGTAGGTTTATAGTTGTGAATACACAAAACAGAGTTTATTCTTGTATTATTATGTCTTAGTTATTGCTTCATTTTACATACGAACAACTATAAACCTACTTTTGCAACACCTGCATATGAAAATGGTCTAGTTCAGGGGTGGGCAAACTTTTTGACTCGAGAGCCACAATGGGTTCTTAAACTGGACCGGAGGGCCAGAACAAAAGCATGGATGGAGTGTTTGTGTGAACTAATATAAATTCAAAGTAAACATCATTACATAAAAGGGTGTGGTCTTTTTTTTTTTAGTTTTATTCATTTCAAACGGGCCGGATCCAGCCCGAAGGCCGTAGTTTGCCCACGGCTGGTCTAGTTTATACTCATGCACTAAATTCACTTGTTGCATTAGAAAATTTTGAAGGAAGATTTCTGTTGGGACAGTTGAAAATTTTATGGGAAACAGTATACATGGAAGATTGGAAGTTTCTTTTTTGGAAAATTTTTTACTCTGGTAAAAAATATATATAACAAAATTTACCTTTTTTTTTATTGCTTAAAGTATTACAAAGAGTATTACATATGTCTCCTTTTTTTTCCCAGCCCTTAAAATTTACCATTTTAAACATTTTTATTTCATTTTTTAATAAATGTTCTTATTTTTTAATTATACTTAAAATTCAATATTATATTAGTGTCAAGTGTACAACATAGTGATTAGACATTTATATAATTTATGAAGTTATCCCCCTGATAAGTTTAGTGCATGTCTGACACAATATATTGTTACTACAATATTATTGACTAAATTTCCTATATTGTATTTTACATCCCCATGACTGTTTTTATGACTAACAATTTGTACTTCTTAATCCCCTTCACTTTTTCCACCCATCTCCAACCTCTTCCCATCTGGCAACCATCACTTTGTTCTCTGTAATTATGAGTTTGGTTTTTTTATTTATTCATTTATTTTGTTTTTTAGGTTTCACATAAGTGAACTTATATGGTATTTGTCTTTCTCCGTCTGACTTATTTCACTTAACATAATACCCTCTAGATCCTCCATCCATGTTGTCACAAATGGTAATGTTATATTTTTTATGGCTGACTCATATTCCATTGTATATATGTACTACTTCTTTATTCAGTGCTCTCTCAATGGGTACTTAAGTTTCCATATCTTGGCTAGTGTAAATGATACATATCTCTTTTCAAATTAGTGTTTTAGATGTCTTTAAATACCCAGAAATGGAATTGCTGGGTCATATGTTAGTTCTATTGTTAATTTTTTAGGAACCTCTATGCTGTTTTCCATACCGCTGCACCAATTTACAATCCCACCAACAGTGCATGAAGCTTCCCTTTTCTCTACTTCCTAACCAACACTTGATGTTTGATGATTTATTCATAATAGCCATTCTGACAGGTGTGAGGTGGTTTTAGTGTACATTTATTTGATGATTAGTAAAGTTGAGCATCTTTTCAGATGTAGGCCCTCTTTGGAGAAGTGTCTATTCAGGTCCTCTGCCCATTTTTAAATCAGATTGTGGGGGTTTTTGGTGTTATGTTGTATGAGTTCCTTATATATATATTATACCCTTATCAGATGTACCATTGGCAAATATCTTCTTCCACTCAGTAGGTTATCTTTTTGTTTTGTTTATGGTTTCCTTCCATATACAAAAGGTTTTTAATGTGATGTAATTCCATTTGGATTTTTTTGTTTTGTTTTGTTATTTCATTGTTTCCCTTGCCTGAGGAGAGTTATCCAAAAACATATTGCTAAGAGCAACATTAAAATAGTTTATTGACTTTGTTTTCTTCTAGGAGTTTTATGGATTTGAGCCATCTATTTAAATCTTTAATCCATTGTGATTTTATTCTTGTATATGTTGTGAGAAAGTCTTATTTTATTACATGTATCTGTCTAATTTTCCCAGTACCATTTATTGAATAGACTATCCTTACCCAGTATATTCTTGCCTCCTTTGTCATAAATTAATTGATCGTGTAGGTATGGGTTTATTTTTGTACTGTCTATTCTGTTCCATTGATCTATGTGCCTGTTTTTATGTTAGTATCATACTGTTACTGTAGTATAGTTTGATATCAGGTAGTGTGATGCCTCCAACTTTATTCTTCTTTCTCAAGATTGCTGTGGATATTCAGGGTCTTTTGTGGTTCCCTCTTAATTTTAGGAATACTATCTCTACTTTTGAGGAAAGTGTCATTGGTATTTTGATAGATATTTTAAATCTATAGATTGCTTTCAGTTTTGTGGACATATTAATGGTGTTATTCTTCCAATCCATGAGCATAGTATATTCTTCAATTTATTTGTATCTCCTTCAATTTATTCTTCAGTGTCTTATAATTTTCCAAGTACAAAGGTCATTTACCTCATCAGTTAAACTAATTTCCAGGTATTTTTTATGCAATTGTAAATGGAATTGTATTCTTAATTTTTCTTTCTGATAGTTCCTTATCTATAACAATAAAAGCATAATCTAATTAGACCAGACAGCTGAACGGCCTTCTGGATGTCATTCTAGACATCCTTCTGGATGAAGCTGCGGCGGTAGGGGCTGAGGCAGAGGTGGTTAGGGGCGAGTGGTAAGGGGCCATCAGACAGGCATGTAGAGTGGTTAGGAGCAATCAGGCAGGCATGTAGAGTGGTTAGGGGCAATCAGGCAAGCAGGCCGAGGCAGTTAGGGGCAATCAGGCAAGCAGGCCGAGGCAGTTAGGGACAATGAGGCAGGCAGGCGAGCAGTTAGGGGCGATGAGGCAGGCAGGCAGAGTGGTTAGGGGTGATCAGGAAGGCAGGCAGGCCAGCAGTTAGGAGCCAGCAGTCCCAGATTGTGAGAGGGATGTCCAACTGCTGGTTTAGGCCCAAACTGGCAGTCGGACATCCCTCGAAGGGTCCCGGATTGCGAGAGAGTGCAGGATGGGCTGAGGGAACCCCCCAACCCCCGTGCACGAATTTCGTGCATCGGGCCTCTAGTTGTTTTTATAAGATGCAACCAATTTATGGATATTAATTATGTATGCTACTACTTTACTGAATTCATTTATCAGTTCTAATAGGTTTTTGGTGGAGTCACTAGGGTTGTCTCTGTGTAGTATTATGTCATTTGCAAAAAAATTGACATACTTCTTTTCCAGTTTGGATGAACTTTCTTTATTTCCTTCTCTGATGGCTGTGACAAAGTCTTCCAGTACTATGTTGAATACAAGTGGTAAAAGTCAACACTCTTGACTGGTTCTTGATCATTAAAAAAAAAAAAATGCTCTTAACTTTTTACCATTGAGTATGAAATTAGTGTGGCTTTGACATATGTTACCTTTATTATGTTGAGGTACATTCCCTCTATTCCCACGTTGCTGAGATTTTTTTATCATAAATTAATAGTTTGAGGATAAGCATTAGTTATTCTTTGAATGTCTGGTGAAATTCACCTGTGAAGACTAGGAGTTTTGTTTCTTGGGAGATTTTTGATTACTGAATGAAATTTATTAGTAATTATTGATCTCATATTTTCTTCTTCATTCAGTCTTAGAAGATTATATATTTATAGGAATTTATCTATTTCTTCCATGTTCAATTTGTTAGCATATAATTGTTCATAGTATTTCCTTATAATTTTTGTATTTCTGTGGTGTCAGTTGTCACTTATGCTCTTTCACTTGTGTCCTTTCTCTGTATATATTTTTTGATGAGTCTGGTTAAACGCTTATCAATTACATTCATCTTTTCAAAGAACCAGCTGTTTGTTTCATTCATCTTTTATATTGTTTTTTTGTTTGTTTGTTTGTTTGTTTTTTTAGGTCTATTTTGTTTCTTTCTGCTCTGACCCGTAGTATTTTCACCCTTCTACTCATTCTTGGCTTTTCTTTTTTAAAAAAATTTTAAGTGTAAGACTAGATTATTTGAGATATTTGTTGTTTCTTCTGATACACATGTACTGCTATTTTCCTCTTAGAACTCCATTGGCTGTGTCCCATAGATTAGGGGTCCTTGTGTTTTAATTTTCACTTGTCTCAAGGAATCATTTGATTTCTTCCTTGAACTCATTGTTAATCCATTCATTGTTGAATAGTGTGTTATTTATCTTTTTATATTT